GAGAAGGCAACTCAAGGGGCATTCAGGAGGCGCTCAATAAACGCCCCGACTCTTCCCCAGAGAACAGGGAGGAAGGAGAAGCCGGCGGAGCAGCTGGGCAGAGAGGAAGCAGCAGGAGGAACCGAGACGCGACTCCGGGCATACAGCAGGTGCTCCATAACCGCTGGTCTTTCCCGAGAAAGAGCAGGCGGAGCAGGGAGAAGGCAGAGCCGGCGCACAGGGGCGCGGGGTGGCCGAAGAGCGGGGGAGTCGCGCCGCGCCACGAGGACTTGGGGGGCGAGGCCGACTCCGGGGAAAGCCGGGGGGCCTAAGAACGCCCCTCTCCTCTCAGCGGGGAGCCGCGCGCGGGCAGGAGGGGCGTGAGCGCATGCGGGGGGGGGGGGCGGCTGGGGGCTCCCCCACCGCCAGGAGCCACAGGGCGGGCGCCCCGCCCGCCCCCACCGCGCACCCCCAGCTGTCCCGCCGGGTGGACAAGGACCCTTTGTCCCGGCCGCTCGCCTGGCTGGGGGAGGGCTGCCGCCCGCCCGCCCCCCACCGGCCCTCTGACGGCCCGCTGCACCCCGGCCCACGACCCCGGTCCGCGCCCGCCGTCTCTCCCGCCTCTGCATCCGGCTCCAGCCCGGCTTCTCGCTGTCTTTGGCGGTGGGGGGGGCCCAGCCCCAGTCCGGGTGCCCCCCTCCCGGCTCGGCTCGGGGCGCAGAGGCAGAGGAGTGAGGCGGGAAGGAGGCCAGAGCAGAGAGGTGAGGACAGAAACGGCTTTATTCAGCAGGAAACAGCGGAGGGGGCGGCCTCCTGGGGGGCTGGAGAGTAGGGGAGAGAGAGGGGGGGAGGAGGGGGGAGGAGGGAGAGGAGGAGGGAGAGGAGGAGAGGAGGAGGGAGAGGAGGAGGGCGAAGAAGAGGAAGGAGGAGGAGAGGAGGAAGGAGGAGGGAGAGGAGGAGGAGGGCGAGGAAGAGGGAGAGGAAGAGGGAGAGGAGGAGGGAGAGGAGGAGGGAGGAGGAGGGAGAGGAGGAGGAGGGAGAGGAGGAGAGGAGGAGGAGAGGAGGAGGGAGGGGCGAGGAAGAGGGAGAGGAAGAGGGAGAGGAGGAGAGAGGAGGAGGAGGGGGAGGAGAGAGGAGGAGGAGAGGAGAGGAGGATGAAAGGAGGAGAGGAGGAGGGAGGAGGGAGGGAGAGGAGGAGGGAGGAGGAAGGAGAGGAGGATGAAGAGGAGGAGAGGAGGAGGGAGAGGAGGAGAGGAGGAAAGGAGGAGGGAGAGGAAGAAGGAGAGGAGGATGAGAAGAGGAGAGCAGGAGGGAGACGAGGAGAGAGGAGAGAGAGGAGGAGGAGGGAGGGAGGATGAGGAGAGAGGAGAAGAGGAGGAAAAGGAGGAGGAGGAAGAGGAGGAGGAGAGGAGAGCAGGAGGGAGAGGAGGAGGAGAGAGCACGAGGGAGATGAAGGAAGAAAAGGGAGAGGAGGAAGGAGAGCAGGATGAAGAGGAGGAGAGTAGGAGGGAGAGGAGGAGGGAGAGGAGGAGGGAGAGGAGGAGGATGAAGAGAAGGAAGAGGAGGGACAGGAGGGGAGAGGAGGAGGAGAGGAGGAGGGAGGAGGAGGGATGAGGAGGAGGGAGAGGAGGAGGATGAAGAGAAGGAAAGAGGAGGGACAGGAGGGGGAGAGGAGGAGGGAGAGGAAGAGGTAGAGGAGGAGGGAGAGGAGGAGGGAGAGGAGGAGGATGAAGAGAAGGAAAGAGGAGGGACAGGAGGGGAGAGGAGGAGGGAGAGGAGGAGGGAGAGGAGAGGGAGAGGAGGAGGGAGAGAGAGGGAGAGGAGGGGAGAGGAGAGCATGAGGAGGGAGAGGAGGAGAGAGAAGGAGGGAGGAGGAGGATGAAGAGAAGGAAAGAGGAGGACAGGAGGGGAGAGGAGGAGGAGAGAGGAGGGAGAGGAGGGAGAGGAGGAGGGAGGAGAGAGAGAGAGAGGAGGAGGGAGCAGCAGAGGAGGAGAGGAGGGAGCAGGGGAGAGGGGCGGAGAGGGGGAGAGGAGACGAGGAGGAAGGGAAGCGGAAGGAGGAGCACTACGGGCAGAAGAGGAGGAGGGGAGGAAGAGGGAGGGAGGGGAGGAGCGAAGGCAGATGGCAGGGGCTAGATGGAGCCACTGGAGGGATGGGAGGGGATGGAGCGGGAGGACACCGTGGGGGAGCAGAGTGGATGGGGGGCTGGAGGAGGGAGGGAGGGAGAAGAGACCAAGGACAGAGGCGGAGGTGGGTGGATTGGGGAGAGGAAGGGGAGAGAAATGACAGACCCAAGACTGACACAGAGGGGACATGGGGTGCAGGGGCGAGGGGCGGGGTGGCCGGGGAGAGAGAAGGAGATGGAAACAGGGCACAGGGCGAGGAGGGCCGGGCGAGGAGGGAGATGGAAGTGGGGGGACAGGGAGAGGAAGGAGATGGAAGGGGGGAGACGGAAGGAGAGAGAGGAGAGAGGGGGCAGGGAGACGGGAGGGGGGAAGGAGAGAGCAGGCCAGGCCGAGAGGGAGGCAGAGGAGCAGGAGCTGCGGGAGTCGGGAGTGGAGGACGGCGGGCCCCTTCTCACAGTCTCACCTGGCGGCGCTGGCGGCGGCTCCCCAGGCCCCTGTGGCAATTTAAGGGCTGCGGGCCAGGAGCTGCCCCCTGCCTTATTCGGCCAGCCCTGCGCCAGAGCTAAATCGGGCCTCAGCTGTCGGCGGGGAGGGCTGCTGTGGCCTCGTCTCCCACCTGCCCCGGCCAGCCCCTCCCTCCCCCCCCCCCCCCGTTTGCCTGGGCACCCCCAAGGGCTACCAGGGTCCCTGAAGCCCCCCCACTGGAAACTCTGGGCCAAGCCGACTGGACGCCCTGAGGCAGGGACCCCTGATCAGGTGTGCTCAGGTGGGGGGCGGAGGGGGAGCAGGGGCTGTGTGAGGGGCAGCCCGATGCATCTGGGGGGAGCCCCCCTGCTTGTCACCGCAGCGGGCCGGGCCCTGCCAAGCCCCAGGCCCAGGGAGACCATATTAGGCCACAGCTGTGCAGCACCTGGGGAGCTCACTCAGCCCCAGAATAGAAACACTCGGGGCCGGGCTGTCTGGTCTCCAGGGGACAGGCCACGGCTCGACAGCTCGGGGGACGGAGGGGGGCCCAGCGGCCTGAGGAAGAGGAGAAGAGGCTGAGAGGAATGTCCAGAAAGAGACTCAGAAGGACAAAGGCGGACAAAGGCGGAGAGGGCAGGGCCCAGGAAGGGGAGCGGGCACCGAGGAGGGAGGCCCTAGAAGGACGCGGCGGGGTGCCTCGAGGTGGGGTGTCCCGACCACCTGTTCCCCCTCCAGTGCTATCGAACTTTCCCCTTTACCAGCTGCCCTTTGACCCCTGGGCCCCAGGACCCGCCAGTGCCAAGGCCTGCATCACAGGCAGCTTTTACAAGGGCGTCCCGGCCCACACCTGCTCCCCGCCTTCCTTGGGGTGTCAGGGACGAATTTACCATCTGGGTGCGGCCCTGCTGAAGCTGAGTTGGGGAGACGCCCCAAGCTGGACCTGGCTGGCCTCTCCTCTTCCACACCACAGCCTCCCTGTGTTACTAGGCCCCCATTTCTGCCTGGTGCCGAAAAAGAGACCCCAGCTTTGCCCAGACCCCTCTCTGCCTTCAGCCCTGACACAGCCCTGCCGCCAACCATCTGGGGCCCTGTGCTGGCTCCCCTCCTCCCATGCCACCAGCCCATGCCCTCCCCACACCCCCAGGCGGCGGGTCCCCCAACCCTCTGCTCCCATTTGTTGGCCCTGGCCCCCTGGGGTCCCACAGCCTGACTCCCGAGCACCCTCTTGCCACCTGCCAGGCCCAGAGCTGTCCCCCTTCTTTTTGTCACCTGTGTCCCCAGGGTCCTGGCTCAGGCCTCAAGCCCTCCTGGCCCACAGTACCGGCCTAGGCCTGCTGCTTCCGGATAAGCCCAGGCCCTCAGCCTACCTGAGCAGGCAGGTCCCCCTCACCTGCCAGGCCCATCAGAGGAGCTTCCGCCTCTGAAAGCGCCCCCTGCCCTCTGGGGCTTCCCTCAGCTTCTAGAGCTGGCTTCTCTGGGTCTTTCTATAGGGTCCCCAGCTCCTGTCACCTCCACAGTGCCCCACAGGGACCACCCCCATGAAGGCCCGTCACAGGAGCCCGCAAACCCGCTGTCTTCCTCTGGCCCGAGAGCGGGGCTGCAGGCTCCTGGGGAGGCTGAGGAAAGACAGGCCTGTCCTCCCCTGAGCTCCTCCCACAGGCCAGGCAGAGCCGGCCTCAGGGCCTTTGGACAGGCCTTGCTGCCTCCTCCAGGCCCCCTGGCTTCTACCTCCCCTTGGCAGCCAGTCGTGCCCTGTTCTCACAGGGCGCCCCAGCTTAGTAGCTCAACGGACATTTATTCCCTCGGGGTGTGGGGGGTTACCGTCTATGCAGCGGCTCCCCAGGCTGTGGACAGGCCTCTGGGGTCCCCTCTTGCCTGTCCAGAGGCCCATGTAGTGTCCCGGGGGCTCTGCTCCCTCCTGTCTTGCTCCACTCTGGCCCCCTCTGGTTTTGAGGACCCTTGTGACTACACCGACCTCCCCCAGGGTAACTCCCCATTCCCCGGGCACTCAGGGTAACCTGAACGCCCCTCCGCCACGGGCCCCGCAAGTCCGCAGCTTGCGTTGGGTGGTGGACTTCTGGGAGGGGCCGAGAGCCGGGAGCAGCCCCTGCTTCCTCCGGGACTGACCCCCACAGACCACCCCCCTCGCCCCGCCCGTGTTTGTGCCTGGACCCTCCGGGTCACTGTCCTGCAGGGACCTGCGGCCCAGGGAGATGTGTGCCCTGCAGGAGGCCGCTCACTGGGAGGGGGCAGAGCCGTGGGGGGCACCCCTCCTGCTATCCGCCCTCCCATGGGGCCACCCAGTCAGACAGGCCAGGCCGGGGCAAATTGGCAGATTTATTGAGGCAGCAGCGGCTTGGGGGGGGGTCAGGAGGGCGGGGGAGGGGTTGGAGCCCGGGGTCCACCAGGCAGGGCCTGGCCCTCCCCGGCCCGGGGCTGGACGGCGCGTGGCGCGGGGGTCCCGCTCAGTCGGTCTGCAGCCAGGAGCCCTTCTCCTCCACCTCCTTGCTCACCACCAGCAGCACCTCGCACAGGCCCTGGGCCAGCGCGGCCGCCAGGAAGGCCCTGGGCGGAGAGGGGGAGCTGAGCATGAGGGGCCGGGTCTGCGCGGAGCCCCAGCTGCCCCCAGAGCGGGCCTCACCTGACTCCGTCCTCGCCCCCCAGGGCCTCGGGCGCGCAGCTTGGAGTCCAGGTTGTAGTAGACGCCGCCCACCTGGCGCAGGGCCACCCAGTGCCGGCGGCGCAGCGGCACCGTCAGCAGCCCCAGCGACACCGGCGACGGCAGGTTGAGGATCAGCCCCAGCACCTGCGGCAGGGCCAGCTGCGACAGCGGCCTGCGGGGCGCGTGCCGTCAGCCTCGCAGCACCCGCCTCCCGGCCGCCAGAGGCCAGCCGCCCGGGCCCCCATCACCTGCCGCGCCCGCCCGCCAAGGACGCCACCCAGCAGACCACACTCCCCAGGGGTCCCCTGCGAGGGCCCCACCGCCCACCGCCCGTCCACCTCCTCCCCTCCTAGCCCCACAAATCGCCCCCCCACCCCGCAGGTGCTCCCCGCGCTCAGCCAGCACAGCGCCCCGGGCCCACCTCCTCCTGTCCCACCACACGGCGGCGAGGCCCAGCCCCTGCAGGGCGGCCATGATCACATTGACGTCATAGTTGCCGGTGCCCAGGAGGCTGCGGTGAGGGTTCAGCCGGGAGTCGGGGGCCAACCTGGTTGGGGGATAGTGAGAGCCTGAGTTTTGGGCCCCTGGAAAGGCCCCCCCCTCCGCCACAAAGCAGGTGAGTCGGGATCCATGAGTCAAGGCCTCCTGCCCCGCTCTTCTCCCACCTCCCGGAGTCACAGTCCCAGCCCAGCTGCCCCTGCCCGCCCGGCTTTCTGGGCGGGTCCTCCACCTGGACCCCCACCCACCTCCATCGGGCTCCCCCAGGCCCTCTCTGCACTGCCGCTGCCCCGGCCCTGTTAACACAGCTCCCCAGTGCAGGGCGGAGGCCCTGACCTCAGCCTCTTGCCTCATGACAAAACCCTCTGCACCCCTTCAACACCTGCTGAGTCTCTAGGGCTCCCAGGGAGCGGCCTGGCCTGCAGGCTGGGCTCAGGCTTTCTCTGGGCCTGGGGGAGCTGAGCTACCCCGGTGGCTGCCCATAGGGCCTGTTTGAACCCCGCTCCCTCTCACCCAGGTGCTTCTCCCATTCCCAGGACCCAGGGCACCCCTCTCCGCCTGGCCTGGCCCTGCAGGCCCCCTGGCTGCTGCCCCGCCCCACCCCTTGCTGGCCACCTGTCCCTACCAAACTTCCTTGCTCCTACCCAGCCTTCCCTCCAGCTGTCCCCGCCCAGGAGGCCCACCCTGCCACCCCTCTGGGTGTCTCTGGGCCTGGCCTTCTCTGAACAAGGGCACCTTTGTCCTCTCTCTGGGCCTCCGGCAGGGCAGGGGGAGGGGCCGGGAGGCATAACTCATTCGTGTGTCATCTTTGTGTCTCTCGGGGCAAGGTTCTGGGGGGCTCAACCCCGGGACTCCAGCGAGGCCTCCGTCCCTGTTCTGAGCGGGACAGGTGAACACATTCTATAGTAACCAGCCTCCAGGGCGAGGGACTGCCTGAGGATGCTGGGGCCCCTGAGCAAGGGCAGAGGGGGACAGGGCCACCTGGAGTGTAGGATTGCATTGGGGGGGGATCAGGAGGTGTTGAGGCCTGAGTTGGGGCTGGGGCTGGGGGGCAGAGAGGAGGAGATGGGGTAGAGAGAGAATGAAGAAGTGATGGCTGCAGAGGAAGATGCTGTGCCAGGCAGAAAGAAGAGTCATGCAAAGGCCCCGGAGCATTTGAGGGGGACTTGTCAGGAGCTAAGAGGAGTCTTGTTTGGGGCCAGGGGCAAGAGATGAAGCTGTGGAGGCCGGTGGTGTCCAGAGCCAGCAGGGCCTTGGCTATCAGCCTGAGGGGCTTAATAAGACTTTGCCCCCAGGAGCTAGAAAGTCAGGGTAGAGCAGGGGCAGCTCTGGGACCTGGTGCGGCACAGACTGGAGGAGCAAACCAGAAGCTGGGGGCCTGGGGAGGAGCTGGGGATGAGGGCACAGAAAGGGAGCATGAGGCCTGTGCTGGGGTAGACAGGGGCGCGTGGAAACACCTCCACCTGCGGGTCCAGTCCCGCCTCACCAGCCAGGAGCCCCTGCGGGGGCTTGACCTCTGTGCCCCTGCTCCCCCAGGGGTAGGCTGGGTGGGGTCACCTTTTGCAGATCTCATCGGCAGCCTCCTGGCTAAAGAGCTGCTGCTGCAGGACGTTGTTGAGCGCGTGGACGGCGCACAGCTCCAGGCGCTGGTGCTCGTGGTACACGGAGGGTGGGCTCTGCTGCGCTCCTGGGGCCTGGGACATGCCGTCCTCAGCTCCTGCTTGGGGACCAGGGGAGAAGGTGCTCAGGGGTCCCGAATTTGGGGAGTCGTAAGCCCAACCTGAGGAGCTCCGCGGCAGAGGATGGGGGTGGGGGGCAGCAGCCCGAGCAGACACTGGCCACTGACCCTGTTCCCCAGCTGTCTCGGGGAGCAGGGTCCCCCCATCCCTAGGAAAAAGGGCTGCTCTTTTGCTTGCCTAGCAAGAGGACCACCCCAGGCACATCCCGAGGCGAAGGGGGACGCCATGTCGTCACCTAGCAACAGAGGAACCCCTCTCCCCAGTCTCCAGGGAACAGGGCCCTTCTTTGGTTACCGAGCAACAGAGGTTCCCCGCCCCCCGCCTCCCCCCCACTAAGTAACAAGTCTCTCCTCTGGTTTCTTAGCAATAGAGGGCCGCCCCCCCTTCACTAAGTCACACGTCCCCGCTTCGGTTACTTAGCAACGGAGGAACCCTTCCCCCAACCCACTAAGTAACAAGTCTCTCCTCTGGTTACTTAGCAATAGAGGGCTCCCCACTTCACTAAGTCACAAGTCTCTCCTCCGGTTACTTAGCAGTAGATGAATCTTCCTCCCCCGTCTCTAGGTAACAGGGGCTCTTCTGGTCGCCTAGCAACAGAAGACTCCCCCCTCCATTCACTAAACAACAGGGTTCGCTCCTCCTGTTACCTGGCAACCAGGCCCCCAACCCGATACCAAGTAACAGTGACCCCGACCCACACCCCAACCGCGGCGCTCGCCCGTTGCCTGACGACACCCCTCACCCCGCCTGCCTCTCTGCTCCCCGGAACCAGGGGCTCCCGCATCCCCCTGGGCGGCGGCTCTGGGATCCGTGTGCGGGGCGGGCAGCACCGCGCTGACTGGGCAGGCGGGACGGACTACAGCTCCCGGCGGCCCCCAGGTGCGGGACTACAACTTCCGTCGACCCCTGCGGCGAATCCCGGAAATGTGCCCGAGAAACGCCCGTCCTTGCGCGCTCCAGCCCGCCCGCTGCAGCTTCTGAGAGGGTTCTGGGAAATGTAGTGCGTTGGCTCTCGCGATAGCTTCGAGGCCGTCGCTCTCCCGTGTGCCCGCCCTCCGCGATGGCGTCACGCTTGGTGTAGCGACGCCGCGTGACTTCACAGAAGAGACCGGAACCACGAGGGTGCAGAACCTCCGCTCTTTACTGAGCTACATGGAAGGGCCACTGGGGAAACCGAGGCCAGGGCAGCCGCGGGGCGGCGGGGGCGGGGCGGGGCGCGGCCCCTGAGCCGAGGGTGTCCTCTAGGAAGCAGGAGGCCTCTCAGCAGAGGTGGATCCCCGGCCTGGAGGGGAGCTGGCTGCAGCCTGCGGGGGAGATGCAGGGAGTGAACGGCTGAGGCAGAGACGAGGAGGCGGCCGGGAGGAAGGGGCAGAGCGTGGGGGCGCAGCAAGACCTCGAGAGCGAGGGGGGCTGTGACGGCCCCGCGGGTGGGCAGACACGGGCGTGGGGGGTTCCCTAGAGATGGAGGCACAGAGACCCAGGGGACCTGGACAGAGAGAAATAAAGCTTCCAGGTTGTGGCCCAGAAGGTTGAGACGCAGATGGAGACCAACCGACAGACGGCGGGCCGCGCCCCGGACCCAGGCTCTGCAGGCACAAGAGCCCCAGAGAGGAGCACGGACGCTGGGGAGGGGCCTGGCCGCACCCAGGAGGCTGCGCCAAAAGGCGGTGACGGTGGCAGAGCCCGTGACGGCGCCGGGCTGGGCCGGGTTCTCCCGGTGGGTGTGCACGGCGAAGCTTTGGCCTGTGGGTCCCGGCGGGCCGCTCAGCTCCACGTCCACCACATGCTTGTCGGTGAGGCTGGGGCAAGCGGGGAGTCAGTGGGCTGGCCGGCCCAGGCCCAAACCCCCGCTCAGCCGAGCTCACCTGAGGTCGGCCACCAGCACCCCGATCACGCGGTCGAAGCCCAGGCTGGGGGCAGCCAGGGCAGCGGCCGCCATGGTGTTGGAGTTGCGGGGGGCAAAGGGGCAGAGTCCCCGGACTGGGCCTTCATAGAGCACAGTGCGAGGCCCGGTGCAGCGCGCCGCAGCCAGGGGTCCCTCCAGTCGGAAGCCATCAGGGTGCGTGGCCATGGTGACACGGAGGCTCTGGAAGTGAGAGCCAGTATCAGAAGGATGGGGGTCTCTGCGGGCCCCTGTTTCCCCGGGAGTCCAGTGGCTCACCTGAAGGCCTCCAGCGGCATCCAATCTGGTGATGTCCTCAGTGCCCCACAGGGCGCCCCGGGCCACGAACACTCCGTGGTTCCAGCGGTGCGAGGCCTCCAGAAGCTGCCGCTCTGTGGCCTGGTCAGCCAGCGCTGAGGGGGACCCCACCTGGGGCGCAGTACAGTGTGTGCGGGGTGCTGAGTTCAGGGGCTGGTCCCACTTCAGAGTGGGGTGGGGCCAAAGCGGAAGGGGCAGGGCTCACCAGGAGATTGGCATGGCGTAGGATTTGCGAGCCAAATTCGTGGATTATTTTGGGATGAGCCACTTCTACCACAAGATCAGGGTTCCTGGGAGAGGTGAGAGATCGGGGCACCTTGGGGAGGCATGAGGCCTCCCTTACCCAGAACCCCCAGCCTCTGTGGAGGCCTGTCCCCTTCACCCTTATCCGGGAGGGGAAAAGGACAGTGGGATTGTCCCATTACACAGGGCGGTGAGCCAAGGCCCAGAGAGCGCGAGAGCGCCTGAGATCACACGGCAGTGAGGGGCGGCCAGGACGGCCCCAGGGAGCCCACTCTGTCAGGCCAGGCCACTGACCTCTCCCCGAGGGCAGCGAGGTTCTGGAGCTGCAGGGAAGGGGGCACGCTGCCTGCCATTCGTCCGGGGTCACGATTCCAGACAAACACAAGCTCTAGGCCCAGGTCTGCCCCCTGAGTTAGCAGGTGGGAGACAAGGGACTGTCCTGTGGGGGAAGGACAGAGCATCAGAGAAGCGGGACGGGAACCCAGAGTGGGGAGTAAGGACAGAAAGAAGGGGACAGGGACCCGGGGTGGGGGGGTTAGAGACCCCTGAGGGGCAAGGTGGGGCGATGCCCCAGCACAGCACAGTCCAGGGCACAGGTGCTTTGGGGAATTCAAGAAGGGGCCTGGCCTGGGAAGAGGCTCCAGACAGCCGGGAACTCACCGAGGCGGCCATAGCCGACCACCCCCACCCTCCTTGGCCCCCCATCCGCCGCCATGCCCTGGAATCTGGTGGTCTGCGCTCAAGCTCCGTCGGCTGCTGGCCGCCCTCGTGTGGGCAGCCGCTGATCTTTGGACATTTGACCCTTGAGCCACTGGGGAACCTGCCCCCTCCCCCAGCGGCCAGAGGTGGGGTGTGGGTTTGCCTCAGGAGGGGGTGGTGTGAGTATCCTGCGGGCAGAGAGCATGACCTTGGGATTCGGGGCCCTGCATGGCCCCTGTTCAGGGCCTGGCCCTCTGCATCACACCCTCCCCTTCCTGCCAATGTGGAAAATTTCCTCCGCAGTCCCGGCGCTTCCCGGCCAGGTTGTCATGGAAACTGCATTCTGCCTGGGGTGGGGGTTGAGAGGGTTGGGAGCCAGGAGAGCCCGCGGCAGGGGACTCTGGTCTGTCCCTTGCACCCGCGTCTCCTGTCAACGTGCCGCTCCTGGCTTCTCCCAGGGCGCTCTGTGCCGGCCGCCGCTGTCCTGGCCTCTGCCTGCGCCCCGGTGGCTCCGGTCCCCTCCCCCCCCCCCCCCCCCCCCCCCGTCGCCCTTCGTTCTGGTCCAGCTCCCGCAGCCGCCCCCTGCGCCTCCACCCCCAGGGCCAGTGGAGACCTGTCTGGCCGCGCCACCGGCTCGCCCACGGGCACAGGGGACGACCTGACCCCAGCGGGCCCGGCTCCATCCCCACCGGCCTCTCAGGACCTCCCCGCTCCCGGCTGACCGCCCCTCAGTTCACCTTGACCTCTCACCTTTCACCCTCCCCACCCCAGCTTGACGCTATAGCCTCGCCCCACTCCCAGCTCCCATGGGCCGGGAAGACGCCTGCGTGGCCGGGGGAGGCCCAGGCGACGCGCGGCCCCCGAGCGCCCCAGCCGCCGCGCTTCTCGGGTGCCTGGCATCGGAAATGGCGGAGGCTGCGGCAGTGCCCGCCCCACCCCCACCCACCACCTGGTACCCTCCGCAGCGTTGCCATGGCAACCAGGATGGCGCTGAGAGGATGGAGCGGGAGCATGAAAGAGAGCGGGGGGAGAGTCGCGAGGCGCGGGCGGGGGAGCAGACCGAGGCGACGGGCAGGGCCTGAGACCCCGGCGGCGGCGGAGGCCGAGGCCGAGGCGGGAGACAGGGAGGCCGTCGCGGAAGGCCCGGGCAGGGGAGATAAGACACCGCAGGCAGAAACAGCCAGGGAAGAAGGGCAGGGCCGACCAGGACCTGGCGCGGCGCCCCGGGTCAGGGGCACCGGACCCCCAGCCCACCCAGCCTTCCTGCTGACTCCAGGGGACCCGGTCCCCGACAGGGTCCTGCCTGCGGGCGGGTCCCCGCCGGGGGACGGTCCCTTACCTGGGGGCGGGTCCCTGCTTGGAAGCGGATCCCTTACCTGTGGGCGGGTCCCTGTCTGGGGGCGGGTCCCTTACCTGGGGGCGGATCCCATACCTGGGGGCGGATCCCTTACCTGGGGGCGGATCCCTTACCTGGGGGCGGATCCCTTACCTGTGGGCAGGTCCCTGCCTGGGGGCGGGTCCCTTACCTGAGGGCGGATCCCTGACCGGGGTCGGGTCCCTACAGGGGGTCGGGTCCCTTCTGGGGGCGGGGCGAGGGGAAGGGGCGGAGACCAGGTCCCGCGGCCGCACCTGTCCCGGCCCGGCCGCGTCCTGAGTGAGCGCAGACGCTGGGAGGACACTCCCGGCCCCCGCCTGTCCAGACGCAGGAGCGGGCAGCCCTGGCCGGGCTCCCTCCAGGCTGCCGCGCCGCGGGGCCTCGCGGACCCCGCCCGCCGCCGCCCTGGCCCTCGCCCGCGTCGCTCCCGGGGCTCCGCACGCCCCGCCCTCCGAGCCCCGGCGCAGCCCCTCACGCCCCGGGCCGGACCGACGCTGGCGTCCCCGGGAAGGTCGCTCGCGACCCGCCGCGCCTCGGGCCTCGCTCGGGGCAGCGCTCCCGCCCGCTGAGCCGCCCTTTCAGCGGCAGCGTCTGCGCGGAGGGGCGTCGCGCTCCGGGTCTGCTCTGCCGGGAGCTGAGCCGCGCCCCGCGCCCCGCGCCCCGCCGTGTTTAACTGCCGCCCCCCAGGGCCTGTGGAGGTGACCCCTGGAGCCAGGGTCTCCAGTCAGTCGCCGGGGCCTCATCTGAGCGCCGTGTCCGGGGGAAGGGACCCGGGACACAGCTCGGGGGAGGCGCCGCGGCCGGGCGGGACGGGCCCTGGGAGGCGAGTGGGGCCCCGGGGAGGGAAGCGGGGCTCCTCCCCCGCGGGCCCCCGAGGCAGCCGGCCCTGTCCGCACCTCCCCTCCTGCTGCGGGCCCCCAGCCTGTGGCGCCTCGCACTGCAGCCCCCGGATTTCTGCCGTGAAGTGCGTGTGGGGGTGAAAGGAAGGGCGGGAACACCGGACACCGAGCGCGCGCTGGGCGCCCCCGCCCCTCCCTGGGGTCCGGGGCGGCCCCAAGACCAGCCCGAGGGGCCGCCCCGCCCACCCCCGGCCGGAGCGCCCGGCCCCGCCCGCCGCACCGGGGCGCCTCTCCTGCATGCTTCCATGACCAAAAAAAAATATTTTTTTACTTTTTCCATGTTTTTTTTTTAAAGTAATTACAGAGCAGGTAGTCGTTGACGCAAACCTCCCTTCAGTATCAAAAGAGTCTGTGGGGCAGGTGAGGGCTGGGGCGAAGGGGGGGGTGGGCCGAGGTGCCCCCACCCCCAGCAACGGGGCGGGGGCCGGAGGGGAGCTCAG